TAAACACATTGTTCATCGCCTTCAGGTTTTACGCTTTCAGAACGGGGGGGGCGCGTTGAGCAGAATCCCCTAAATCACTAAGGTTTCTATACAGCATGAGGTTTTTGTAGGAATAAAAGCTATGTTGCTTGCAGCTCTAAAAGCGCTGTAGTGTTACTTTACTTTTGGTACTAACATTTTTACGGAAACGTTTTCCGCGTGTCCTGAAATATCATCAAACTGCAAATGGACTGCTAATATGTCTCTAGATAATGTTAAACATGTATACTTTAATTGCGATTACACAATATATTCCATCCGTCATTCCTTAATCTCGAGAACGGTGTTAGATAAATGAAAAGTTTAGGAGCAGGAGGCCCCGATTAACTATATACAATAGGCTTCAAAATCCTCCCAATGAACACAGGAGATTATTTTAAAGAACTGGAAAATGTTGCAAAACACATTTAGTACGGAAAACTTTATATTTATTTGCATACTTATAAGTTTACAATATAATTATTTGAACAATTTAATTGTTTTATCAATAACAGATCACACAAAGAACATATAAATTGAGTTGTTTCGGTTACTTTCAGGTGTACACATATGCAAGTGAGTCTTATCGATGATAAAATGCTTAAGTAATTAAATGCGTGAGGTCTTAGACCATCAGATATTTCGATTAAAATTACACTGTATCTGTATTTAAAAGGGGGCGGCGAATAACTATCTTGCCCAGGGCGGCATAGTAGGGTTTCTCATTCCCCGGTCTTTTGCTTGTCCTGTATTATTTTAATAATGAAAAGTCCTACTACCGAGAATGCCCTTTCCGATTCAATTGATGTGAGTGGAATTTTATCTTCTCTTAAATGTATTAAACACACATTATGTGTTTTTTTTCGCCTGTAGCCTGGAAGATTTCTAGTTCGTTTTCGAGACTGTAGTACTTCTTTTGCTCTCTAGTATTCTTGATTTGTCTACCTCGGCTGCTTTAATAGAAACATCAAGCTTACAGCCCAATAATTCGGCAGTTCGTTTGTCTTTAATAATCAGGTTTATGAAGAAAACTTCATACTTGCAGACTTCGTACTCGTTTGTATCCTTGCCCAATTTGCACAACCTGGCGTTATGCAGTTATTAATATTTAGTTATTTCACCTTTGGCTTGTATAACAGCCTTCATGTGATCATTCTTTGCATCGACGAGATCTTGGCACTCTTTTGGAGTGATTTTATCCCAAATTTGTTTGATGTTTTTTTGCTTTAAACTATCCACACTTCCTTGAAAGACTTTTCTAGATACTCTTTAATTCTACACCGCATATTTTCTATAGGGGAAAGGTCATGACTGTTTAATGGGCATTTTAATGTGTTAATAGTATATTATGTTAAAGATAATAGGCATAACATAAGGGCGCCAGTATATTTTAGGCTACACGGTGCACTCAATTATACCTATTACAAGATTTTCAATAGGATTAAGTACTTGGAATGAAAGATTAGGAAACGATACCCTCCCCTCTCTTGCTGTCCGTAATAAATTTTGGAAAGCTGGACCTCATAATCTAGATCTACAGAATACAAACAGAAAAAAAAAACCCTCCAAATTTTTTTCATTCCTCGACGTTTCAAGGTTTCCTGAGTCCAAAAGTGTAACAATTTGAAAGTCCAAGAAGCCTAAACTTATCAAATCACATAAACAGAAACGTTTTAATTGTGCCAATTGCTATAAAAACTGGACATTAGAAGATTGGAAGAGGATATTGTATGCTCAGAAGAATCCAAAATTAGTGGGGTTGATTAAGCAAAAATATAGATGAAGTCTATAAATGAGCGAGAAGTACAAACAATACTGAAATTTGGTTGAGGCAGTCTTATAGTCTGCGGTTATATTACCTATTTCGGGCGTAGAATGCGATGTTCTTAACCTAATAGAATGGATAACGTTATTTACACTGAGATATTTGACAATTATTTGTTACAATCTGTTAATTATTACCACATTGATAAGAGCTCTTTCATTTATCAGCAAGATAATGATCCAAAATATACATCTAGGAGGGCAACGTCATGGCTTCGGAATCAAAATATTAGCCCGCTTGAGTGGCCGCCTCAACTCGATTGAACACATCTAGTTTCTCCTTAAACGTGGCTTGTCTGTCTATACAGCTCCGCCATCCATCAATTACGGGAAAGTGTGGATGAATGGAACAAAACAACATTGAACGATTGCACGAATGTTATTAATTCTATGCCTGATTGCATTAGGAAGGTTTTAAAGGCCAAAGGGTGCTATATTGATGGTTGAAGTGTATTTTTTCCACGAATATGATATAGATTTTTGTCTTCATCAAAATCTCCTCAATAGATAGATATCTGATAACATAAGACTAATTCTTATTTTAAAATAATGGTAGTGGAGGATTATACTAAAACAATGAACACAAAAATGTTATAGGCCTACTTAAAAAAATGTTTAGTTTTATATAAGGGAAGTAAATTCGCTCCTTATAATTGTTTATTAATAGGACTTATTATACAGGTGTAGTTTCTGATTAGAAAAGAGAGGAAGTCTTAGTCAAAAAGACAAAACAAAATAGCTTTATTTTCGCTATTTTCGGTATAAGAAGTTCTATTTACAAACGAGGTCCAAATATAAACAAAGTCCAAAAAATATCGTTACGTTATAACACAATATTTGTTATAATATGACACATAATGGGCTATATTATTACAGTGACGTTTCTGTGGCCCACACAAAGCAGATATATCTGGAAATAATTATTTTATTTGGAAGTAATTGGCCTGCTGCTGACTTATCACTCGACAAGTTCTGTATTGCATCAGGAGTCACAGAATATTTTCATTGTTCTTGACTATTAGGCCATAGCTAAAGCTAAGTTGACGCTAAGTAATTACGATTAATTATTCAAATTTATTGAATGTAATTAAATCTATGAGATAGTTAAATTAATATTCGTGCGAGTAAATTCGTTCGATTTGTGTTAAAATATAGAAGTATCAGTGTTACAAATGGTATACAATTTTATGTCATTTTGACGCCATAACCAAAGGCTTTATTCGTTTCCTTCTGGTGGATCTACACTTTTACATAAGCTTGATGCCATTTTCTAACACTTGCTTTATTCGTGTACCGCGCCAAGGGGTGGATGCCTCTCGGTAGGACTTTCTATGGAAAATTGGTTCCTATTTAGGTGTTACAAACGCGAAGAAAACTCGGAAAACCACGAGAAACTACCAGTTTCTAGTGATTTTTATCCACTCGGGAGCAAAACACTACTAAAATTGAGAGCATTATGAAGAAAAATTGCATCCAGGCATTGTGACGATATCACAATAAATAATTGTTTGTTAAAAATGATTTACATGAACTATCAACTATCGACTGAAAAAGTAATTTTTAATGATAAATTTCAGTTGAAACATGAATGCGAAAACAGAAAATTAAAGAAGGAAACTGTAACTGTAAAAGTGGAAAGTGGTAAAGATCAACGGTATAAAGATTTTCAGGCAAGAAAAAACGTAAATAAATGATTCCATTTATAGAAATTCGTCACGTTCCACTATGTAGAAGAGTAGAGAGGACCCTTTTTTGGCCTCTTAGCAGGCTCCATTAATTAACCTTTTGTTTTTTGAACAAATGAAATACGTAGAATGTTTATTTATTAAGAAAAATCAGTCTTATAGATTATATTTTTCGACGTTAATTTTATAGGATTTGGAATGACTGCGGGCTTTTTTATTAAGAATAGAGTCATGCAGTCATCTATCTAACTCCGTTCTCGAGATTAAGGACGGACATACAGTGTGAATTTATATTTGAAAATTGCAGCACAATAAAATGAAATGCCTGTCAGTCTGTTCCCTACATACTACTGAACCAATTGACGGCCCCAAACAAAGGTTTTCAGTTACAATAACCTACCACTAATTAACATTAAATGTATTGTTGGATTTACTACATTTTGTTGCTAATCTCTTGTAACGTCACAATACGTCTAACTGCGGATTTTCGTTTTAAATTTCTGCTTGCCTCTGTTTGTGACGACAGATTTAATGACCCTAACTCGTAACGTAAGTGCTAAGAATCTACATTAAGCTGAGTTCGGACAGGTACTTCTTACGTTACGCACGTCTAGGTTACGTCTTTTCGTTCGGTTACGTTACGTGGAAAGTTCATGCGAGCACGTGTACTTTTTCTACCACAGTAGTTGCTCTCTTTCAACTGTAGTTATTCCTTATTATTTCTTATGCAGCTTAAAAATTGTATTAAAAATATCATCGTAACATAGAAAAAACGTAACACGTTACTCTGAATGATTGTATCAAATAAATTCAGAATAAAAATCAACCTGTCTTGTGATTTAGCAAGTATTAAACAGGTGTTACGCTGTATGTTTTCAGGCATATAGCTCCGTTACGATACGATTACGAGTTACTTTTGCTGCGTAACCGAGAAAATCGAATTTATTTTTTTGTATTTTTAATATCCATAACGGGCCCAAAAGTCATTTCACCGTGATATATTTTAAAAACGGTTAAATCGTATGTTATTTTTCGTCATTCAGCGCTTCATTACAACTAAATTAAGATCAGTTAACTAATTTTTGGACCTCCCTATATTACAAAATCTCCAAAAACTTTAATTATATTAACGGAAAATAATTTTAGAAAACGAGTGACGAAAGCAATTTCAAATTTTTACTTCTACAGCCAATCACGTTTAACGAGTGAGTCTCTTTAACCAATCAATCATCGTTAAGATTTTTTTACGCTACATCTTTCATATTATCCAGAAGCCCGCCTATGATAACGTGAGTTGTATTTACTCGATTTTTTTTTTCTACTTAAAAATTTATTTTATTTTATTTTATTAATTATCCATTCTGTAATTATAAGGAATTGAAATTACTTGTAATTTTCGAAAAATATCTACGTATTGTTATTTAAAATGAATGATTTTAAAACAATATTCGAAAAGTTTTCAATTGGGAAAATTCTAATTAAGTATTTTAGATATATTTAATTTCGAATTAGGATTTTAATAGCTACTTTAGATATTAGAGGGGGGTGCAATGTTGTAATATTGCATTTATTTTAATTACTTTTGATAATTGTTAAGGAATGAAGAGAGAAATAAATTACCTGGAGGTCATTCTCAATCTGTCGTTGTACATAATGGGTGTCGGAGTGGGCAACTGGGGAGATGTATATGGACGCCAATTATCGGACGTAACGCCCAGTGCCATTTGTCTTAACTTCCACGTTTCTTGGAGAACTTGCATCCTCGCTTGTTTCCTCCATTTTGCTCTCCGATTTTGGAACCATACCTGTAATTTTCGTCAAATTTTAATGCGTTTTACTTAATAACATGATAAATGAATCATTAGATATTAAGTTACGTAATGATTCATTTATCATTTAGTATACTTGTAGTAAAGATAATTGTGGAAATTCCATTGCTTAATTATTAGGGATTTGTAAACGAATTTTAGTTTTTATCTTTAATAGTGTAATATCCTGTTTAAAATTTCGCAAAATTAACGAAAAGTCTGCAGATGTAAATAAATAAATTCCCTTGATGATAGCTCGTTCGATAGATTCACGCGGTTAACTGAATTTTGGCCTATGCTCTTCTCATTCTAAAGCCACCGTTGTTTAGGGATTTTCTTAAGAAAAATTTAGGGTTTTTAGGAATGTTTTATACAAATTCTATAACGTACGGTTCATTTCTTGTTTTGCTCATCCAAATTGTTCAAGAATTTTATGTACTTTTTTTCCCTGCCAGATTATTTCTCATCTAAATTCTTACCTAGAAAATAGGGATTTTTCCACTGATTAAAATCGTTCAGTACAAAAATACCTTCCAAATTTTAAATTTATGATGAAATTAAATTTCTTAAATCCCTGATAAATTAAGTACAGTACAATGTAAAATATATTGTCCCGTTGTCGATTTATTTACTAAAGAAACGATTCTTTCTGCATTGACTCCGCATTAGAATTATCGCATAGATCGAACGAAACAAATCTTGAATAATTTGTTAATTAATGGAGAATGTTTTTAAATATTTCTTTTTAATGTTTAGAATGTCCCAATTTGGAGAAATGAAAAGAATTTGAACGGAATTCGATATCGTAAATCGAATGAATCGTAATATTGAATGAAGAAAAGATTTTTAACGTTGTAAATAGATTTAAGTTCAGAAGAATTCAAGAAAAATCATGCTAACATTATAAAGACTTTTAGAATTAGTGTTAAAAGTTTAGATAGAAGAAGATAACGGGAAAGCAAAGCGGCTAAAATCTTTTTATCCAAAACTATCGCACTTTTTAAGATACAAAACAGCATAAATTCTAAATTAATTTATTATTATTCAAATTCTACATCATTCCTCATTAAAATAAAAAGCTTTTCGTGTCTGTACTTAAATAATATCAGTCAATATTTTTAAGTTAACGAGAAATGCACGAAGATTGTATACCGAATCGCGCGTTATTCTAGCTAAATTATGGAAATTTTCTATTAAAATAGTATAAGAAACTAACCTGAACTCTTGCTTCTGAAAGATTTATAGTTCTAGCAACATCTTCTCGAAGGAAAACGTCAGGATAATGAGTCTTCTGAAACAAAGCTTCTAATTCGTTTAGTTGTTGAGGACTAAAAGTAGTTCTGCTGCGACGCTTCATAAAAAATTTTTTAACGTCAGGATAATGAGTCTTCTGAAACAAAGCTTCTAATTCGTTTAGTTGTTGAGGACTAAAAGTAGTTCTGCTGCGAATCTTCATAAAAAATTTTTTAACTGATACATATTAATATAAATTAAACAATGTTTTCTTCGTCATCACTAAAAACACTATTAATTAACCGAGAGCGTTTTCTTTTTGGCAAGTTATCCTTATCCTCTGGGCATTTTTCTTCATATCTTCAGATCCATGCTTTACCTTTTGCCAAAAGTATGTAATTTTAGATTGCTTGCTTCTAGTTAAAAGATCTTTATAAATTTCCTTATATGGTGCNGAGCTTGTAGTTTAAATCTAAAATTACTTCAAAACATTTTCTTGCATTAAACTTTGAGTAGAGTTCAAGTTTTTCAGTGAATTTAATTGGCTATTTAACTATAAATTAATTTATTGTAAGCTAACTTCTGTAGTTTATACTTAATGATTATCTAAAAACACATTAAAATCTTTATCTAAAACTAACTTAAAACAAAAATAGGCCTTTAAAAATAAGTATACCAGTTACTGATAATCAGTTACATACGTAAAATAATTATTTTCCTAAATTTCTTTGGATATTAGATTATTTCATCAAGATAAATCTTTGATTCTCCATCTTCTTAGAAGTAGAATTAAAGAAATAATCCAGAATTTTCCACAAAAATACATTTTAAAAAATCGCCAAAAACTCCATAAATTTTTAGAAAAAAAACCACGATAATTTTCAAACAATTTAAATTGAAATTTTCTTAGATGATCCACTGAAGTCGGGATCAAAAAAAAGCAATTTAAACAAAACTTTTTCCATTAAGAAAACCCACAAAAGCTAATTCTTTGCATTAAAAAAAAATAAAAATTTGTAAAAAAATTATCAATTTATAGAATCAAAATTGAATATACGAAATTGAAAGAAAAAAATATTCTAGATTTTTTATAAAACTCTAGAATCTCAAATTCATACATTTCAAACGGCCGGAAGAAAAGGAAAAAAAATTCAAATTTAAATAATTTAAAACCGTTATTAAAAAAAATAATGCTATTTTATAGACTAAAATAGATTGATATTACTCACTTCGGTTGTAATTGATGTATAAGGTATATTGGTTGATAAGAGTTGT